CCTCGCTCCAGCCAGCCCAACCTGCACCCCGGGTGTCACCGGCCGGGGACGGATGTGCCCGCAGTGACACGGCAGCCAGAAAGCCACAGCAGGCTCAGCGAGGGGCACAGCTACGTTCCCACTGTGCCACCTCTTACCAACTTACTGCACCGACACCATGAATATCTGTGATTTTCATTAACTTGTCAGCAGCCCCTGTGAGAGCTGCAGAGCCCCCCGTCGCACCAGCTGTCGGACCAGCCCGGCCATTGCTGGGTGCTGCTGCTTTTCCCACGTGCCAGCAAACAGATGCGCAGGTCATGGGTGCAGGAGACGGGGCACGGGATGGAGGGAGCCCTACGGAGAGACACCGAGAGCCGCCGGCTGCAGCTGAGTGACAGATGTTAATAAAAAATACTCTTGCTCGCATCCGCTGCAGGAGGCTGGAGCGTAGAATTGATGCTGTACAGACTATGCCTGATAGAACAACGCCTGTCTTAGCAGCCCAGAAGCCAGCACCTAATTTAGTTTTCATAGGTAGGGTAAAGAAAAGTATTAAATAGACACAGTGGAATTTTTTTTTCCCTATTAAAAACTTTTCTAATGGAATTTAACCAGCTTAATCATTAAAATACATCCCACTGTACTGCACATCTGAATTGGGGACCACAGGACAAGTCATGGGGAACACACACGGCCAAGTTAAGCCCTTGGGTTTTGTAAGCAAAGGGCACAGTGTCCTGCCATGAGACCTGGGACAAGTGTTCCCAGATATAACAACCACAGAAAAACCCAACCAACAACCCAACAGAAAAACCCGGCTGGAGCCTGCGCTGTACAGAGAGGCACACGACCCACGGTGGGAAGAAGCTGCAGGTAAGTTAGAGAGCTGGGGCAGGCGCTGCCGTTCGCATGACCTGGATGTCTGACAAATTCCCAGGAATTTGTATTCCACTGGGAACACGATGAACTGGTTCCTCTTTGACCTTACGGCCATCCCGCAGCTGTGTCTGCTGCAGAGCACTCCATCTCAGATACGTTTCCCAGCAGAGAGCAAGCCAGGAGCAGCACTTCTGGCCCCGGAGAAGGGCAGGGATTCTCCAGCCTGCACGGCCAGAGGCGGAGGCTGCCAGCGCGCGAGAGGTTGAGCCACGTGGGGAGGGAAAGGATGGGAAGAGAAGAGACGGCCTGAGGCTCCTGGTCATTTCAGGTTCTTCGATTTTCCACCAAATGAGCTAAAGACAGAGTACACACATATATATTTAACTTTCCTTCCCTGTTCCAAAGACTCCATTTCGGAACATTTTGCAGGAAGGTCCCTGCAGCACCGATGCTCTCCTAGGGGACTGCTGCATCTTTCAATGCCAACGTGGTAGGACAAGCCATGCAGGCTTAGGCAGGCTAGTGAAAGGAAAGTTATGCAAAACATGCCCCAGCCAAATGCAAAGGCATCCCAGATTACCTTCTTTGGAGTGATTTTGGATGGTTACATAAATGCAGACTAAGTTCTCTGCAAGAGTTTGCAGGAAAGGCACCGGCTGCTCCAGCTTCCCCGGCCGCCAAGGGCAGCCCCGGCCTTCTCTCCGCCGGCTCGCGGGGCTGCCGGCTCCTTGCAGGGGCTGGGGGCTTTCCCCTTTTCCCTGCTCTACCTGCCCCTCTCCCGCAACGGTGCGGCTGGGATCCTCCGGCCACTCGCAGCTCTGAGCCAGAGATGCCTCTGGGTCTGTTTAAACACAGTTCACATTGCCAGCGGAGCGCAGACCTGGCCCTGAGTCACCGCCCTTCCCGAATCTTTCCCGCCGGCAACCGCTTGCTCCGACTGCGAGACTCGGAGGCTCGGTTTAGCCTACGATAAATCATAAGCACTTCAGCTTCAAATCCTTCGCGGCCACGACCCGGGATGAGATGCCTGCGGGGCTCTCGGCAAGCTGCCGCAGAAGGGCCCCCCACACCCTAAAGCTGGGCACAACCCTGCCCGTGCCCCCAGCCGAGGAGCCTCTGCAGCTGGAGCCCTCCGAGCCCGCCACGTCGGGAGCAGCAGCACGCAATTAGGGATGTGGCTGAGCTGCTCCGCAGAGGCAGAGAATTAATCCTCCCATTAATGTGTAAAACGGAGCGTTTGTGTTTCACAAAGCAATTATACAATAATAGCAGGAGAGCTATGATAGAAATCGCATCTTGTCTGAAGTTTCGCTCCAATCCAACACATGAATAATTCCTCCTAGGCATTACTGGGAAAGCAGTATTAAAAGACCGATATAAACAAAAATTACTGGAAAAACCAGATGAGGCATGCTTCATCTCCAAGTCAGAGTTGAACACAACTAAATTTATACAAAGTGGGCAGAGAAGCTTGAAGGGGCAAAGACATTTGTTACTGCTCAGTGCAAGATGAGCTCACATGAAAACGCATGCTTCATCTTGGCAGCTTTCTGATGTCTTACTCCTAAAGCATCGGCTTTATTCTCGGTTTCCATGGCAGATACTTTTCTGAGCTTGTATCTCCCACAAATATTGCTAATTTATTCTCTCAGCCATGTCTCTTGCAAATACCTGCAGAATGATTCCATGTGCAGTAAGAGTGGTGAAAAACAGGCATATGTTGGCTCTGCTTTTCAGCTAGGGGAAATCGAGCCTTGCAAAAGAAGGGCTTGTCTTCTACAGCCAGAAGATCACAGCCAATCTTCTGGCACTATTTTTTGTCCCAAGTAGCGTGAAAGTGTATTATCTGTCCAGCGAAGCAATGTACATTTAACATTTCAGCCAAACACGTCTCACAGGCAGGGTTTCTGCCCTCCCAGCACTCCGCTCCGCACCTGAGCCAGGGGGGACCAGCAATGAGCGTGGTCCCTGTTCCTACTGCTCCCCCCTCATATTTCATGTTAAGGAGAGTTTATAAAACATGAGGCTCTTTCACAGGCAGAGACCCAGGAGCCAGACACATCAAAAAGATCCTATTTTCAGGGTGGATTTACCAGCCCTGCAAATGTTGAGCAAACAGCGGCAGATGTGTAATTCTCACAAATTCAGCAAGTCTACAGCAAAGTGAGAGGCTTTTAAGTCTTTCTGGCAGAAGGAGAATCACAGGGTTTCGCAAAGTGGTTGTTTATACACTGAAGCACGTAACAGCTAGCACATACAAAAGAAACTCGGACAAACTTGTAAGAAGGAACCCGCGCAATGACAGCAATGAAGAACTGGTGGGAAAACAGGGCAGGCGAGCGCAGGGAGGGCAGTGCCGGTAAGAGCAGCGCGGAGCAAAGTGCCCGAGCCGTGGGGAAGCCGGCGCGGGGCGCGGGGCTGTGCCAGGGCGTGCCTGGCTCTTACGGGCAACTCCCCGGGGCCCAGATAGGAAAGTGGTCAAACACCAAAACGCAGCCCGCTCCCTCTCCTAAAGATAAAAGCCCGGCGAGCCCCGGCCAGCTGGAAGCTCACGAGAGCCCGGACGGGCTGGGAGAGCCCGGACGGGCTGGGACCGCTGGTGGTGCCGGGCCAGGCTCCTGCCCCGCTCTGAGCATCGCCGGGCACCAACAGCTCAGAGGAACCCTGGTCTCTGCTCTGTGCTGGCACTAACGCCTGGCACAAGGACTCCAGGGGCTCCCACTGGCCACAGAGAGGGTGTTTGCCAGGGCTGCGCCCAGACACAGCCCGTCCTCTGTCCAAAGGAACAGAAGTTCTAAAGAGAATGTGAAATGACAAGCAACTAGGTGATGATACTTCGGATCTGTTCATCACTGCGGCCACAGACCACCTCCACAGCTCTCCGGTAAATAAGGGAAACCCCTTGGGGCCGCTGGTCAAACTGGCATGGGGACAGAAACTGTTTCTGGATTTTTTTCAGTGAGGATGAGTAATAGGGGTCATCAACACATCCAGTAAACAAGCCACTGATTTTCCAAACAGAGCCTCTGAAGCATCCGGCTGCTTTTAAGCCATTAACCAAAACACACTTATCTCTGGTTCCCTGGCCACAAGTGACTTTTGAACCCACTGCCACTCTGGGCCAGAGTCAGCTGTGCTCAATAATACCAGATTTCTAAGCCCAGCAGGACACTCCAGCGGTCAGAGCTGGCCCCTTCCGGGCAGCTGTGCCCAGTCCACGTCCTCAGCAAGAGGGAGACACGGAATCATAGAATATCTTGAGTTGGAAGGCACATGTAAGGATCATCGAGTCCAACTCCCTGCTCTTTGCAGGACTACCTAAAACTAAACCATATGACTAAGAGCCAGTCCTCCCAGCCCAAGGGCTTGGCATTGGCTGAGGGTGGGGTGGAGAGCACAAGCCCTTCTGGAGCTGAGGAACTGCAGCGTGAGCTGGGAATTAAAGAAAAAGGCCACTCGAGGCAGGAGCAGGGCAACAAACTGCTGGGTGCTGCTGCAGCACAGGGCGCACAGTGGGGCATTGCCCCAGTGAGAGCAGTGCCACGGGCAGCTGGGCTTCTGTGGGGTGTCACATCCCTGGGAAGTCACCTCGGAGGTCATCACGGATCGGCTGCCCTTGGCATAACGCTTACCAGTTAGACACTCCAGCTTCGCGAGTGCTAAACGTGACCCGTGTGGTCTGGGAAGCAGCAGAAAGCACCCCATGCCCAGACCTGAGCAGGTTTTGCTGCGTTGTTGCACTTCTGTCTGACCCAGACATAGAGCCCGGCTGCATGCACAGGCTCGCAGCTCACACCTCCTGCTAGTACTTCAATAGTTCCCGCCTGCAGTTTTAACTGTTTATCATACCATATGTTCTGAATGCTGAGTTTTTCCACATGCAACAAAAGGCCAGGAGCAGAGTTTGGGCTGTTCTGCAGCGGGCCAAAGAAAAACCATCCCCACCCCAGAAACAGAAAACTTTTCGGCTGGGCTGCACGGCAGAGCAAAGTTGGCAATTTAACTGTTAACCTCGCCCATGACTGTTCGGTGTTGACATCATCGTGAGCTCACTGCTGTAACTTGAGCCCTCCGGCTTTTTCTCCAGACTGCCCTTAAATACCAGTGCTGGGAGCCAGCCCAGCACAGATCCCTCTGGCTGGAGCCGACCCCGGCAGCACCCCACATAGATGAAAGCAAAGAGACGCTGCAAAACTGCAGCCATGTCCACATCCCTGCGTGTGAGCCCCTCGGTCCACGGGTACCGCTTCGACACAGCCCTGCGCAAGAAAGCCGTGGCCAACATCTTTGAAAGTATCAACGAAGAGTCCCTACAGAAACTCTTCAAAAACTCTGGGGATAAGAGGGCAGAGGAAAGAGCCAAGATAATCCTCGCCACCGACCAGGACTTGGAGGAGAAAACGAGAGCACTAATGGCACTAAAGCAGAGGCGAAAAGACAAGCTGCTCCAGTTCCTGACACTTCGGAAATACTCCATAAAAGTTCACTGAGCTGGCGAAGGGAGCAGAAATGGAGGAGAACATTTCGGGATGGGACTGTTTGTGACCTCCTGCCAGACACGGCACGCTCTGCTGCCCCACGAACTGCTGCGAGACGGGGGACCTGCCAGACCGCCCGCAGGGCTTCAGCCCCGCCGTGCACGCAGCAAACCACGGCACCGACAGCAGCATCGGCGCCCACGGTAACATCGGTGCCAACAGCAGCATCAGCGCCCACGGCAGCATCAGCACCCACGGCATCAGTGCCAGAAGCATCAGTGCCCACGGCAGCATCAGTGCCCACAGCAGCATTGGTGCCCATGGCAGCATCAGCACCAGCAGCATCAGCACCACCAGCATCAGTGCCCACGGCAGCATCAGTGCCCACGGCAGCATCAGCACCCACAGCAGCATCAGTGCCCACGGCAGCATCAGCACCCACAGCAGCATCAGCGCCCACGGCAGCATCAGTGCCCACGGCAGCATCAGCGCCCACGGCAGCATCAGCACCAGCAGCATCAGTGCCCACGGCATCAGCACCCACAGCAGCAGTGCCAGAAGCATCAGTGCCCATGGCATCAGCACCCACAGCAGCAGTGCCAGAAGCATCAGTGCCCACAGCATCAGCGCCCACGGCAGCATCAGCGCCCACAGTATCAGCACCAGCAGCATCATCAGCGCCCACGGCAGCATCAGCGCCCGTGTGGCGTGGCAGCCAGGGGCTCCCAGAGGGAAGGCAGCTCCCAGTGGGAAGCAGCCGTGGGACCGAGCTGTGGGGGAATCCCACACGCCGGGGCGCAACTGGAGACCTGGCGGGCTCGGTGTTTACTGACTGCAGCCGCGGGCTTTGCCTTTTCACACTTGTGTCCTTGCAGTCGGAGCCCCTGCTGAGCCGCACAGCTGTGGGCGAGGAGGGAGGTTCTAGAGACTGATCAGCTCCTGGTCATGGATCACTTTGCATTTGTTAAAGTGCCTGTCAGTGCACCGTATGGGTGCAGTAAGTGCAACCGTCAGGGAATGCATTTGCTCTAGGGACACACTACGCCACTGTACCTTTTCTTTCTCAAGCTGTATGTGTGCAGTATAAATCATTTGCACAAAAGCAATAATAATGATATATTTCCCTGAATCTACTGTGAAGTTCCTTAATATTTTGTTCACTTCCCATTAACACTAAAAATCTAAATATTGTAACTACAGTTCTTAATTGTATAGATTACAATAGCTATTAGACAAGTACTTTATGTTAATATTATATGACATTATTATAGCTACTATAATTTATTGCATATGGCAATCTGAAATTGAATAAATTATGAAGTAAATATAAGTTCTCTTGTCTGAAATGCTCAGTTCTCCTGGAGGAGTGGGGCTGTACTTTTTTTGGCCATTTCATACAGAGCCTGTTCTAAGAGCAGACTGCCTGTACCTCTCTGTAGTTCCCCAAGTGACACTCCGTGTCCCCACAGTCCCACCAGCCCTGCCAGCAGCACCGCTGCCGTGGTGACTCCGGCGTCCCCAGAAAGACCTCGCCGAATTTAGTTGTAACTGTTAATTTCTCCTATCTAAGAAAGGAGAATTACATCTTTTGCAATAGTGTAACAGAAAAATCAGTTTAGAAAGTGGCCAGTTCCACGCCACAGTAAGCGGTGTGGTTCGTCGGGCTCTTGGCATTCCTGCAAAGCAGACTGAGAACTCGGATTTGGCTCCCCATCATCCAAAGAAACAGAAGTGACTTAAGAATGCTTTGGCAGCAGAATTGAACTCAGTTTTTTCTGCAAGTTATGGCATACTATCATGATAGACTATGTTGACAATACTTAAAAATAGCCAAGAGTAGTTATTTATAACTATGTCCTCTAATAACCTGCTGGTTTAGAAAAAAAAAACATTCCCATGATTCTGCTTAGAGCAACAAAGATAAAACAATTCAGAAGAAGGATAGATGAGCCACATTTTTTTTTGTCTACAGTAAAAAATCCACATTGTCTATAAGTCAGGGAGACTAGAAATAATCCTTTAAATTACTTAATGCAATGGATAATTGCAATTATTTATAGTGTGGTGAAGCTCATCCAAGCATCCTGCGAGAGCACCAGGTTGGGGACTGCAGTGCCCGGTGTGCGGAGCAGCCCCGGCTCCCCCGAGCACCCCGGGGCCCCGCAGAGCAGCACTGACCTCCCGAAAGCGAGAGCCGGGGCAGAAGGTGCCCACAGCCTTCACCCAGCCCGGGGGGCGAGGGGCCGAGCGGCGGCAGGAGAAGCACCTCGGGGCACCCTGCCCCGTGCTCCCTCCACCGCCACGCTCAGCGTCGGCTCCGAGACCTCGCTGGGGTGAGGGGGTGGACGTGGTCCCTCCTGCCGAGAAGACTAGAGAGCGCTGGGGTCACGCCTGGTTTGGGATGGACCTCTTTTCCAAAGGCTTTTCAGAACTGCCCTGTCTCTGAAAAATCTGCTTCTGAGTGGGATTTGCTCCGGAGGCAGTTGCTGGTTTTCCAGCATTCCGTCTGTTCCAGTGCAGGGTCCCACGCTCAGCTGCAGCCGCTTCACCCACTCATGACACATCCCCACAAAACCACCCATAGTGACACAAACTGCCTCAAATGGGCTGTTTCCAAAAACGGCCAAATGGGGCTGCCCACAGCTGAAGAAAGTGCTGCCCCACTCCGCCCCACCCCCTGCCTCCACCCAGTGCTCCCAGCAGCTGGGGTGCAGCACCTTTCCCCCCGCCCCAGTCGGTTTTCCCAGCAGAGTCATTTCTTGTGTGACAGTCGCTCAAATTAGAAACCAGGGGGACGATGCGGCCACCAAATCCACCTGCCCCTGGGGTGCGGGGTACGACGGGACCCTGACAGCCCTGCTGCAAGGGGATGCTCTCAGAACACCCCCTGCCCCTCCGTGGGTCCCAAATCAGCTCTGTGCTGTCCTGCCGCTGCTGCTGGGGCTTTGCTCGCCCCGCCTCTCCCCCGCGCCGGACCATCGAGCTTTCCACAACACACCTCCTGTGCCAGGGCCAGCTGTGGGTTTGGCACAGCCTCACCCCTCTCTTGGCCCCCATCACCAAACCATGCACCCCCCCCCGCAGGGGCCGAGGGAGGGACTGGTGCTTTGGCAGCCTGTGCAGGTTGGGGAGGGGGGCTGACAGCAGGACACGCGCGGGGCGCCTGCGCTGCGAGACACGGGCAGAGGCTCTGCCAGGCGCCCGGCACGGTGACTGAGAAGGTCCTGTGACTTGGGGAGTCCACAGTCCCTCTTGTCTCATCACACCTAAATTATCAGCCCAAGCGGCATCCCTGATAAATGAAGGCCGCTTACACAACAGTTAAGTGATTATTGGGTTTTGACAGTGGAAAAAGGCAATTTTCCTTGGTCGCAGCCTCTATGCCGTTTTGTCAGGTTTGTGCTTCGTGGACAGCAGCGCGTCTCGCAGCGGGCTCCGGAAAAATTGCCATAAACGGTTATGAAACGTTTGCCAACAAGAGCTCGAGGTAGAGAGGTCCGACCACGGCAGGCCCCTCACACTCACGGTGCTGCCTTCTCCGGGGCAGCTCGGGGTGCCCGGCCCCGGCCACCCGGCGCTGGCGGCCGCCCGTGTGCTGGCCGGGGCACGGCCGAGCCCCGCGCCGCTGGCCCCGGGGCCGGCGCTGAGCTGCGCTGCGCAGCGCCGGCGCGATCCGCGCAGGAGGGCTGCGGGGGGGTCGGCGGTGCCGCCGACTCGGTGCGTTCAAGCGCCGGCCCGGCAGCGCTCCTGCCAGACGCAGGGGCCATTGTCAGCCTCCCCACGCAACAAACAGAGGAAAAGGCTGTTCAAGGAATTTCCTCCCTCCAGGAGCCGGGCGTTTCCATTAATTCTTCTCCATGAGTCAAACTGGCTGTACTGGGTGTCCCTCCGTCCCGGCATCCTGAGGAACATGCGTCTGAATAATTCAGCTAATTTTATCTGGCTTTGCTAATGCTCTGCCATAAGCAGGAGAACGGGGGAGGGGGCAGCCGTGCACCCCCAGCTCGAGCGGCTGCACCCCGGAGCGTGCTGGTGGGCTCCCTGCTGCAGGCAGCTGGGGAAGAGCCATGGAAAGCCAGGACAGAAAACGAGCAGAAGCTCTTTTTGCACAAGCTCTGGTTTGACAGACCAGCAAAGGTGGGGAGCAGCTCAGAGGGTGCCGGAAAGAAACAGCCCAGAGCAAAGGGGGGGGGGGGGGGCAGTTATAGCAGACAGCACAGAGGTCCCACAATCTGTCCCCCCATCAAACACCCATCCCTGTCTCCCCCCAAATCTACCCTTGCAACCGTCCTGACGATGGGAGGATGGGGCTGGAACAAGTCAACAGTCCAACTCGGCCTGTCCGCTGTGTTCAGGCGATGGGGACGTTCCCCAGTCCCTGAACAGCCAGTACCGTGACCTTCTAATTTCTGTGAAATCAGAGAGGGATGCCAAGCGCAGAGTCCAGAGCGGGGCTGGGCCAGCCCTCACACGGCAGGGTTTGTGTGCGGAGGGACAGGGTGCTCGGGTCAACGGCAACACCCCCCGGGCAAGTTTCCCTTCCATGCCGTTGAGCAATGGGACAAGTTAAAAATTGACTGTTCAGCTGAACTGCGTATCTGTTTTGCCCAGAGGTACAGACTCTCCTTTACAAACCGGTGGTTCAGCACCCCGGGTGCACCCGGGGAGCCCCAACTCACGGGCCAGCGCCTCAGCACGAGGCGCTGCTGGCCCAGGACATGCAAAAGCCACCCCCTCCCCGATGTGCCCAGCCGCCCCCGGGCAGCGCACGGGGGGGAATCGGGGACTGGCAGCAGCTCTGCTTGGGAGTGGCAGGCGGTGAGCAGGAAGAAAAAAGACTTTTCTGCTTGCATGGATAAACTTCAGCAGGAATGATGCCGCGCCAGTGCCAGACCTGAGCAGCTTCGGTGCAGTACCACGGCACACTGCCCGCCCCGAGGGGCTCGGGGGACTCCCCTCCCTCCCATGAGAGCCTGGAAAGGCAAAGGGATTTATGAGAAGAAAAGCATCTGAAATACTGTAGCCAACAGGAGATGGCACAGTTGCCATATATCTTTGCTAAAAAATAAAAGT